AATATGTCCAATGTATTGCTTGATGAAATAAAAGGTGGGAATTGGATCGAATTTAAAGATATTAAAGATGACACGAATTTGCAGAAGACTTAGAGCACAAGCACTTTTGAGGTTTCATCAGTTGTCCCATTCTGCAAACATGTTATACTCAAGGTGATACACCAACTATGAATTGGGGATTGTTGATGAAAAAGCTTTTCGTGAAAACGATAATCACACTTTCTATTTGGAGTTGGTAGATTTGTTCTATTCTCCGGACGAAATGGTTAAAACGTCTGATATACCTAATTATGTATTTAAAAACAGAAAGATGTTGAAAGAAAAAATCGAAAGTGAAATTGACAAACTATCTGACTACATCTGGGATTGAACTCAAGAAGAACTAGACCAGATGTGTAACAATATTTAACATTCCAAGTGCCCACTTCATCTCAAATTAAGAAATGTTACTGGACATCCTTTGCGATTGTCCCTTTTAGATCTTTATGATGTTCTTGAAAATTTAAAACTTGACAATTTGATGAGTGGGGTCCATATTTTTGTATGTGTATTTCCTACAACCGTCGGCATCGAAAGATTTTTTTTCGAAACTTCGTCAAATGCGATCAAAAAATATGTTGTTGAAAACCGCATTTGAAAGACTGTTTTATTGCCTGGATAATGATGTGTGTTATCTGAGTTTTTAATTTAAAAATATAAAGTTATGATTGGGTTGATTATTATTATTATAGTAATATTTTATTATACTAATTTTATTATTTTATTATTATTTAATATTATTAAATTTTTTATTTTATTTATTATATTATTACTATTATTCCTACTATTAAATCATTTTATTATTATATTATAATATAATTATATATATAATTTTATTATTTAATTAGAATTATAATATAATTTTTTAATTATAATAAAAAAATTTAATAATATTAAAATAATGGTTTAATTAATTACAGATTTTAATATATTTGTTTTATTAAACTTAATATTAAAATTAATTATTGTCTATTTCGAAAAAAAAAACAAAACAAATCAATGTTTATTGTTTTTGTTATTTTTGTATTAAACGGGATATCAAAATCAAACTGTTTGTCATCAAAATATTCAACAAAAAACTCGATAACTTTATATAAAAACCAATTTATACTCAATAAATCATTCTTATTTGGAAACACATGTTTCAAACAAGAACATAAACTTCTACGCTATAATCTATATTGTGTCAAATACATACTTATTATTATTTTAAGTTTATCGTTGGATTTGTTGTCCTTATATTGTTTGTTATTTATTATTGTTATTTGTTTTGATTAATATTTGTTTTGTACTCACAACCAGATTGGTGAAAATTGAAAATTATCAATGAAAAATATGAAAAATAAATATTAACACTAATATATCCCACATATTATGATATTTATTATTCTTAATGCTTTAAAAACAATTTGATTTCAATCATCAAAGTCAAACAAAGAGTGGAACAGTTAATAAGAACAAATCAGTAATCGAGTAATACAATTATTGATACTAATAAAAGATAGAAAAAACCAAAGACTGTCTAATTATTAAGATTTATTGTAAAAAGTCTGAATGAAGGTTCGTAAAAATCTCTAAATTTTTTTTGGTTTTAATGATAATAAATAATTTTTGTATAATTATAGTTAAATTTAAATGGTTGAATTGTAGTTAATTATTAATAAAACTTTTGATTGTTTAACATATTTTTTGCTATAAATTAATTTATTATTGACACGAATTGCCTGATTTATTTGTTTTATGTCGTGTAATATAAGCTTTTTTTACTAAATTCTTTAGTATAAATTGAATTGACTTTTTGATTTGCTTTCTGGTTTTGGATTGTAATATATTTATTATTTAGATCTTCATTAAATTAAAATATTATTTAAGTACTAATAAATAATTAATATATTATTCAAACAATTAATTTGTCTCAGTTTTTTTATGTTTTAATTTTACTTATAATTTATATAATTAATTATAATTAATTATAGTAAAACAATACAAAAGAAGGTTCATTTTTTTATCATATTATATATTATTAGTTTATATGAAGTGGTCTTTCGATACTAATATTTCTAATATAAGTATTATAAATTAAATCAATTTTATTGAAATACACATATTATTTTTATTTTTGTTTTTTTATGTATCAAGATAGTATATTTTTATTAAATTTAATTAACAACAAATTATGCAAAATTCAACTTTTCAATTAATTTTTATTGTATTTTATTTTAAAAAAATGTATCATATATTTAAAATAATTATATTACATGATATAATACATTTTTTCAATATTTTAAATTGATATTATTTATTTATTATTATTTATTTCTAATTTAACAATTAATTATATGATTGTTTTTAATATAATAAACTATCATATTAATTATAAATATTTTTAATAGTTAATAGTAAAATAACGTTAAATTAAACTAATATTATTTAATAATAATTATAATAAATATATAGAAAATATACTATGAATATGTTAATAAAACATTAACACTTAAACTATAATATTATAGTAAAAAGTATTTTTGTAAATCGATGATCTGGGGAATTTAAAAATGAACAAAACAATTTCAATTTTGCCGACAAAAAATTCAGTGCAAAAAGTCAAAAAATACCGAACCATGAAGTCAAATACATTCATATGTTAAAAATAAACCGGAGCCGACCTTTCCCACCCTCACCCCGTCTATTTTAAGAAAAATCGGGTTATTTTTTTGATAAAATATTCATTTTTGTTATTTGAAACATTCCAAAAATATTTTAAATACTA